GCTCACATACTTTTTTAAATGGTAATATCTTTGTTATAGTCCACATACATTCTGGAAATTAAATGGAGTTATATATATATGTATACACACACATATATATATGTATTCACACACACACACACACATATATATATAGGCCCAAGCATGTTTTCTGGCTCATTTGGTTTGGAAATAGCTGCATGTGACCAAAGTAGAAAATTAAAGCAGATAAGGAACAGGTTCATGATCAAAGTAGTTGAGGCTGCTTTAGGGAACTCAGTTTTTATCCTTGTGTTTGCTCCATCATTTCTCAATAATGCCTGGAAAGTTTTCCTCATATTCTCAGTATTCACTTGAGACAAAGGGATTTAAGGAGAAAATCATCCTTTTGAACTTATGCAACTACAATATAATGCAGCTGGCAGGGGAGAGAAGAGAATACCATTAAAAACTTTTTTTATTAACTGAGCTACCAGTCTATCGAATAAGAGTCTCTTCACCTCAGGATTGCTGCAAAGATGATTTCACTTACATTTAGGAACCATTTTAGCCTGCCAGACAGTAAAATTATTAAGCAACTCTTATTAAATAACTCAAACACCAACTTAGCCCATAGTCAAAAACCTGAAAAAGTAAATTACTCTGTCTAGCACTCAGGGAGCTGTGATTACACATTCATAAGCAATGAGTTATATACAAGTCCTTAACAAACAATATCAAAATTCTAATAGGGAGAAAGGAGAAAGCACATCTAACAACTGACATTCCAGGAACACAGCCTCTGCAGGTCGTGGGATACTGCTCTGGGATTTGGGGTTTTTTTTTTTTTTCCCCCCCCCCATCAAGCACAACATATATTGCAGCTGTACTACAGCTAAAAGAAAGCTTACTGTTAGGTTGATCAAAAGAGTAAGTTGAGAGAGTTTCACAGAATACATACGCTTCACTACAGGTCCTTCTTATAACAAAGTGAAAATTCCCACCAGCCTAATTCAAACCCTTCGGTGTCAAGAGATGCGTATGTATCAAGGCACCATAAGAAACAGCAAGAATCAGTACTTTGGGAATCTTTTGGAAATAATCTACTTACATATTGCCAAAACCATGGTTAAAAACTATTAAGAAGCTTAATCTGCATGTTACAATCACAATAGCAGAAATCCCATCAGATAATACCAATTTCCTAACCATCTCTGAGATACACTGTGTATGCATTACAACTTTGATTTGAAGCCAAAGTGTTAAAAGATTAATCCGTTACAGCTCATTGTACATAAACCAGAGCGTTGGCCAATGCATTCCTTGCACAAATCCACCGTCTTCCGTCATTTCCCTTCCAATGGGAAGCTTGCAGTGCACACTGCCATTTAACCTTCCCCCCAGTAACCCTTGCCTCTGTAAAGCATGTTGAAACTAGGTGATAAGGTCCTCAGAATGATTTCTCCATTGCTACACATGCATCTAACTTTCCAGGCTGAGCAGTCATTGAATGTCACTATGAATTCAAATTACCTGGACCCATCATTGAAAAACCACTAATTCCTTACAGGTGACATGGGAGAGTATCAGCAGAGCAGTAGCTATCCATTCCAAACCCAGTGGTCTGTACTGCCCTTTATTTTTACAAGTTTTTTCTGGGCTTCCCAATGCCTGAGGGGTAGAAGAGCTGCCTGCTCTTTAAGAGTCTAAACTTTAATTAGTTTCTAACTCTGTTCCCTTCAACTTTTCCACAGTAGTGCAATAGCCCTGTTTTGAGAGTAACAGCATATTGCTAGACTTTTGCAGATGAAGTTATGGAACTACCTGGCGAGCTACACTTCTCTTCAGGCTGCTTCTCTCCCATCAGTGCTATCATTTTGCCATCTTTTAGGCTAACTATGAGCAATGGTGTCACACTCCTTGCGGGCGCTTCTCACAGTAACTGTGCCCACACACCACAGAGCTCCCAGTGGCACTTTAGGTACCTTCTTTACAGCATATTCAATTTTTTCCTACAGGCTGCAGCACAAAATGAATAGGACATTGGGGCATTCAAATATTATTCCCTTGGTCGCAGTGTACAGTAATCAGCAAGCATTTGGAAAAGACTATCATTAGTCACCATCAATACAGAATCTCTTTCACAATCAGGGTACAGTCTCACTCAGACTCCAAAAACTTTAAAAAATATACTTTAAAAATATACCTCACGAATGCCCATCCTTACTCAGGGGATGATAGACCCCAGTCAGATCAAGATACCAGCCAGTATCTATATTCTTCCTCCCCACCCTCCAAAAAAGTTCAAGAAATCAAGAGTCAAGGCACGCCGTAAGTCAGCACCACTCCAACCTCTGCAAGAACTTTAAGCTTTTACCTAAAAAAAAAAAAAAATGCCACAGCTAGTGGCATTACCTTATTGTTTTTATGATAACTTGCTGTGTTGCATATGATCTTTCACAGGTAAACACGGAAGACTGGGGAGAACAAGTTACTCACCTCTATTGGTAGAAATGTAATTAGATTTCTGTAGCAATTAATCCAAATTCATTAAAATAAGTGTTTTCTAAGCAACAAAATATTTGCTCTATTATTTTAGAAAAATTGTTTTTCTGAAGTGACTAATACCCTATAAAAGATTTCACAGGCCTCACAAAGGAAGCACAAGGCCTACATACACAGGCGTTGCTCAAAACTTGAGGTTAAAAGAAAGAATGCAGCCAGCAACCTGCTTATCCAAGCCAGCCAATGCTGAATAAGTTTCATGCCCCAAGAAATAACTTCACACCTACATATAAGTTTCAAAATATGAAAACAGTATTTGTAGCAGCATAAAAAAGTACCACTGCCAAGAGTACATGATTTTTTAAACCTTTAAAAAACACAAACCTGTTACAAGAAAACAGCATATAATAAATTAACTGAAATAAACTGAAAAGTTTAGTTAGTTAGGCACTCAACTGAAACTCCATTTCATGCTGTACCTTCCATGGATAATACAAGTACTGCAAAAAAAGACACTGTATATAATAAAATGTTCCTCAAACCACAACCGATCTATCCTGTAGCATTTGCTACAGGTAGCCAGGACATATGACTTGCTGAGCAGTTCTACAGCACCAAGTTTTTGCGTATACACAACCTATGAATGAACGACTTTATATATATATACACATATATAAATTATATCATTACCTTGAATAAGAATGGTAGGAGATTGCACATGCTTCAGCATGTGGAAATCTCAGCTTCATGCTTCCAGTCTGACTCCCAAGACTTCCACATTTCAGTCGCGCTTCCCTCCTAGCCTTCTGCTCAGGCCTGCATGCAGGGCTAACTTTTCATAACTTTAGAGGTGGCACTCATAAGACATTACCAAAAAAAAAGTAGGTGATCTGTGGCTTTGAATGCTGATGGCTTTGAGGAAATTATTTCCTTCTCAGGCTTTAATCTTCAGAGGAAGAAAGAACAACAGAATAACTGAAGCTGCTTAAGCAGCAGCTATTGAAGTAGCAGTGGCAGCCCTCCACCATGTGGAAACTACTATTTAGGGATATCTGACCCAAATCCTATATAGGATGGCTAGATAGCTTCCAGCTGAGTAAATAAAATTAAACTCCCATCCATCACACTTTTTGCATATCCTATCTGGAAGGGTGCCTTTGGTGAGTCTCTGTGCACATTCACTGCTTTGCATTGCAGCACTTTTTATCCCAGATTGCTGAGGATGCTTTAATAAGAATACATAACAACATATGTAGTACAGTGTTTAAAACTTGCTCATCAGCTGCTTGCAAAGACATCCACATATACATCCACATATTCCAAAGTGTTTTATGGTCAGCAAACCACTTACTATAATGTATGACAATTAACTTTTAACAATGTCTATTTTTAAGAAGCACTGCCAAATATAATAATTACATTTTGGAATGCTGTAGCAATTTAAGGCTGTGCTTTCCCCCTGAGCCCTTTCTGAGGCAGAGCAAGCGGCAGCATCGGCCACGGTTCCTCCCTCAACCCTGCCACACGGTGCTGCTTGGTCGCAGAGCCTAGAACACCTTATACAAGAATTGTCTGCTTCTCAGCATCTTTAAACACAGCTGGCATTGCAGAAATCTGAAGATGTGATAACAGGGGGAGCTTTGAGTGCTTTTTGTAACTACATTTGCTGCCCGGAAGACAGAACGCCTGCGTCGGGCAGCGTGCCCAGGAGGTCACTGCTCGGCCGCGCAGCCCGGGGCACCGCTCGCCGCCCGCCCGGCCTCCGCCTCCTTCCTCCCCGCCTCCCGGGG